CTTAGTACTGCAATACAAGATTGAAATTCCCCTCATTTGTTCCCATCAAAATCATTCGTAGGTGTTAGTCGACAACTAACTACTGTTCATTGAAGCCAACTGCACCCTTAGAAGGTGTTAATGTAAATGTATTTTGAGGTTATGGTGTAAAAGGCCTAGAAAGATGGTAAGCTTTAAGCTTGATCATCAAATTAAGAATAGCCTGACCCCCCCCATTTCAGTCTACGAGATAATGATCACGAGAAGCAAAGAAGAAAAGCACAGCTTGCTATTTTACCTGTTTACATGCCAAAGTGATCTCTGCATCTGGATTTCTAATCTTGTGACCCTCGTCAAGAACAACGTAGTCAAACCTCTGTGCAAGAAGATGTTCCTGATGTTGACGTATTCCCGCAAAGGATGTCACCAACACACCGTTCTCTTTACACATTTTTTTGATGAGCTCTTGCTGCAAGATATATTCTAAGGTTGAGACTGTATATTTTCCAGCCTATCTGTGTGTATTGGTCTGTTTGTTTGTTTTTCCCTTCCCTTTCTCTATCTGATAGTCTCTGATTGTGTTTGTCTGTTTGTCTTCGTATTCCATTGCATATGTACTTTCATTAATTCAGAGCAGTTTTCAATTGAGTGTGGAAAGTAATTCGGGATGTCCCTAGTATTTCTTTGATTCGGTCTGTCATCTGCAGAACTCGCGCCATCCTCTTGACTAATCGGCAGATGCAAACTAAAACCAATCACGACTCGGTCGCTTGCGCTTTAATAGGGGGTTTTACTTGTTTTGACTTTGGGTTGATTATTTTTCTTTCTTTGGATTGGCTGTTGTGATTACTTTGGTTTTAGTTTTACGACTATCAATCGAAAAGCGCTGTATTGTGTGATATTTGTTTTGCTTGTCTGTCTGTCTGTCTGTCTGTTTGTCTAAAGGGGGTAAGTTACTAAAGAAACTATGGTGCTGCGTCGGTGGGGGTAACAAGGCAATTTGGTTTTACCAACTAAGTTGGATAGTAAATTGGCCACCGTAAAGAATTAAAAAGTTGACGTTTCAAGCGTTAGCCCTTCGTCAGAGCGAATCGGTAACTTGGTTTTATCGTCATTTGCTCTGACGAAGGGCTAACGCTCGAAACGTCAGCTTTACGATGGTCAATTTACAATTTCAACTTAGTTGATATTACCAAATTACCTTTTCTGTCTGTCTGTCTGCCTATAAGCCAGCTGATCAGTCGGTCATTCACTAATTTGGTCAATCAGTCAGTTTGCTACACAGGCTAGTTTACTTCCTTCAGGGTCCGAAATTAACTTTTTTTAGCAGGCGCCAACTGGCGACTGGAGTTTTTTTCAGTTGCCATATGGAAAAATGTGGTCGCCTAAAAGTGACAATAAAATTTTCCCTTTGCAGCGAAACACAAGCCACACATTTAATCGATCTGGCTGAAAATCAACGTTATTATTTGTATAATTATCGTGGCATAAAATAGTTAATCGCCCGTTGGCGACCGGTTGTGAAATTCTGGTCGCCAGTGCAAAGTTTTTAGTCGCATTGGCGACCAGGAAAGCGCAATTTCGGACCCTGTCCTTGCTAGTCTGTTTACGTGTCTGTCTACTTTTTTGCATGTCTGCCTCTCTGACTATCTTTCTGTCTACCTTCTTGTTTGCCTGAGTGTACGACCAACCTTGAATCCTTGATAACTTCCTGTTTCGTGAAGTACAGCCACTCTGAACTCTGGCCACCATTTATGAAACTCTTGCACCCACTGATGAAGAACTGTCACAGGACACACAATCAACACTGGCCCTAGCCCTGGGTGTCTGCCACGTTAGCACAGAATTGATTAATAGGGAATTTTATCCGAATGCTTTTCATAATGAGCAATAAGTAAGTTTTAATCTGTAAATCTACTTGAGTCAAGTGGTTACAACTGCCAGAGCTACTTTATCTATTTTCCACTCCATGAAGAGACCAAGGCTCAATTTTTTCCCAAATGTCCATGTGCATGCATGTTCCTATTCTGTTCTTCAGGTTCTACTTATTTGAAGAGCAGATGGCACTATCGACCAGGGCTTAGTTTTTCGAAGGAGGATGAAGCTATCCAACGGTTAAATCACTGTCAAACGGACAAGTGTAAACAAAATGTCCTGCGCTATCCACCAGATGGATTCATCCAGCCAATAGCATTACCCACCCTTTGAACAACCAAGTGTAGACAGCTTCGAAACGATATAGGTTGCTATCTTTATAGACAGTTATTTTTAGTGGAAAGGAACATTTAACCGCTTCTTGCTAATTAGATTGAAGGAGCTCCCTATACACAATAATGAGAGAGAATACTCACTTCTTTCTCGCTGATATTTTGCTGTACTTCAGCCCAGCAAGGAAAACAATCATCTGAACAGTCTTTCCCAGGCCCATCTCATCACCAATAATACCGCCCGCCTGCTGACAGTGAAGCTCCCACAGCCACTTCACACCTGTCTGTTGGTATCTAGGTGGCCAATTTACCATTTCAACTTTGTTGATATATCCAAATTATTTCGTTACCCCCACCGACGCAGCCCCAAACAGTTTCTTTAGAAATTATCAGCCTTTATCTAGAAGAGGCAGTTTGATAGATTGCCCTTTGACCCTCAAGAGTGATTAGCATCTAAATTCTCCTTACAATATCAGCCCTGAATCAAACATTAAGGTCAGGAGAATAACGGAAATGATCACCAACTAAAGAACCTCTTGATTGTTACACAAATTTTCCTTGTCAGCACCTTAGGAAATGCATAGAGAACAGTATGGAGAATATGTATTTTGAGGTTATGGTGTAAAAGGTCTAGAAAGATGGTAAGCTTTAAGCTTGATCATCAAATTAAGAATAGCCTGAAGAGAATACATCTTTCCTTCTGAGTAAAGGCCAAACTTTCCAGTCAAGTGTTTCAACATCAATATTGCATTGGTGAGATAAAGGAAAGCCTGAAGGGAACAAACCAGTGAGAGGAGAGATGTTTGGGAAGAGCTATTTAGATTTGTTGTTTTTGCTCAAGATCGTTCCCCTCCACTAGTTTATCATTCTCACTGCAACCTCCCTGGTACACTTCTCTGCTACACGTAGCTCCTAACTTTCTTCAATACTACCAATCCAGTGGCATTAATAATCAATTGGAATATTGGGCAATTGCTTGTGAACCAAAATTCACCATTCTGGAAAAATTATGCAGGATGAATTCAGGGTGAATTCAGGGTGCTGTATGAGACAAATAAATGATGGGAGTTCCTAATGAGGATTAAAACCCACAGACCCACAGATGGTATCAGGTAGGACTTACTTGTACAACTTGTCCCATATTTTGCCTGGGATCTTAAGCCCNTAGGAAATGCATAGAGAACAGTATGGAGAATATGTATTTTGAGGTTATGGTGTAAAAGGTCTAGAAAGATGGTAAGCTTTAAGCTTGATCATCAAATTAAGAATAGCCTGAAGAGAATACATCTTTCCTTCTGAGTAAAGGCCAAACTTTCCAGTCAAGTGTTTCAACATCAATATTGCATTTACTTTTAATTCATTTGCTGTCTCCATGGTGAAGCGGATGGAGGGGTGCTAATTTCTTCGAGCTAACTAAATTTAAAACTAATTCTAGCGAGTTAATCCTAAACAAACAGCAAGATAACTTATTACCTAAAGAACTAACTTGCTAAATTAACTTAGCGTACTTAGTACTGCAATACAAGATTGAAATTCCCCTCATTTGTTCCCATCAAAATCATTCGTAGGTGTTAGTCGACAACTAACTACTGTTCATTGAAGCCAACTGCACCCTTAGAAGGTGTTAATGTAAATGTATTTTGAGGTTATGGTGTAAAAGGCCTAGAAAGATGGTAAGCTTTAAGCTTGATCATCAAATTAAGAATAGCCTGAAGAGAATACATCTTTCCTTCTGAGTAAAGGCCAAACTTTCCAGTCAAGTGTTTCAACATCAATATTGCATTGGTGAGATAAAGGAAAGCCTGAAGGGAACAAACCAGTGAGAGGAGAGATGTTTGGGAAGAGCTATTTAGATTTGTTGTTTTTGCTCAAGATCGTTCCCCTCCACTAGTTTATCATTCTCACTGCAACCTCCCTGGTACACTTCTCTGCTACACGTAGCTCCTAACTTTCTTCAATACTACCAATCCAGTGGCATTAATAATCAATTGGAATATTGGGCAATTGCTTGTGAACCAAAATTCACCATTCTGGAAAAATTATGCAGGATGAATTCAGGGTGAATTCAGGGTGCTGTATGAGACAAATAAATGATGGGAGTTCCTAATGAGGATTAAAACCCACAGACCCACAGATGGTATCAGGTAGGACTTACTTGTACAACTTGTCCCATATTTTGCCTGGGATCTTAAGCCCCTTGTCAAATACCACATCAGGATATTCTTCCTCATCACTTCCAACAGCTGTGGAATCACCTCTCTTTTTGAGAAGTTCACTAATTCTCCATTCCCTAAATCATAAAGTTTTTATCAGTACATGTGTACATGTACCTTTAATCCACATTCACAAAGTTTGTCAGGGCAAATGGGCTAGCAAAAGGCTAACACTTCAACTATCAGCTATTTACAAACTCTTTATCATGGCCAATTTCTGTTATCACCTCAGTTAATAACACCAAATAATCTTGTAATACTACCCCCCCCCACCCACCACCAAAAATTCTTTAGAAACTTACCCCCTTTATTCAACTGTCATGTACAGTACATTATGATCAATGTAGCGAGGCTCTACATGTACTGCTCACCATTTTAAAATGAAATTTAATAAAATGCTAGATATGTTGATTTTGGTTTGATCTGCAATAAAAATTTTAAATTTTATCATAAAGATCTGATACTGATATGTATAATCCTTACTGACAAGAAAGTAGAGCATTGAATCACCTGATCCTTTGGCGATACAATTTTTCATTTCCATCATCAACAGGTTTTTTATCAGCCCTCCTTCTGGTCATTTGATTAGTTTTCTTCTTCTTCTTCTTTGGCTTGAGCCTATCTTCTTCCATGTAGGCAGCATTTAAAGACCTTTTTCTTCCAGTCTGCTTCTCCGATTTAGTTGGTTGGACATCTTCATTCCAGTTCATCTCATCCTCTTCAAACCAACTGTACTTAAGCTCACCTTCATCTGGAACGTATTCATCATCATAAAGATCTTCATCGTAATTGTCCTTGTCATCATCACCATCCTCATTTTTATCTTCTCTTTCATCATTCACACCCTGCTTGTAATTCTTAGAGTTTCCTGCATTAGTCTCTCCACAGTTATAGTGTTTGTTCACCTCACTGCCATTTCTTGGAACAGTCCCTCCAAATGGTGTCATCTCTCCAGTCTTAATCAATGCATCTTGCTCTAAGAGATTTTCTCTGACAAGAGGGAATTTGTTGCGTTCACTAACACTCTGAATATTGCCATCTGAAGTCTCAAGCTCATCTAAAAATTTGTAAATTATGATATCAGCATCCTGTGAATCCCATCCAAAACCCTCAGAAGTATCTTTGATGGGTTCTGGTATCAAATTGTTTTTAGTTACAAGTTTTAATTTCTCTCAGGTTTTAAATAAGGGCTCATTGTGACAGCCCCTTACCAGGTCTTTCGACATCTCCATATATTGCTCAACTCATAAAATGATCAGATTATTTTAACATAACATGACAGTACAGAAATCTACCACACAGTCCACTACTTAGTAAAGAAACACAGTATGACTCCTCTGTCAGTGCTTAATAAAGAAAAGAACTGAGAGTTACCTTGATCTAGGAATAAACAGGGTCAAAATAACACACTAAGATGTCACCTAACATTACTTGAGTAATTCTATAATTTTTGCCATCTGGACACATCACACCATTCAAGTACAAATGCATGTAAAAGCCAGCCTTATTACTACTTCTGCATTAGATGGACCCATAAAACGTAAAAAAAAAAATAACATTACCCTGTTGTTCTAATTCCTCCTCATTTCCAATACCCAACTTGTGGTGTAATGCTTTTTGAGTTGCTTGCAGTTTCTTCAACTGGCGGAGCTATAAAAATTTGTAAAGAAGAATGCATAATTATTTTGCTCAACTCATTTTGTCTTAATCAGACTATACATACATGTACTTCTATGCGCATAACATGTTGTACACAGCATGTTTCCTTTTTCAGAAAGCATCGATATACCCCCATAGAAAGGTTACTTAAAACTCGGGGGGGAGGGTGAGGGGAGATTTTTGAAAGGCTGGGAATTTGGAGATAAAATACCAATTATAACTGTATTAAGACAAACTGAAAGTTCCAGAGGAGATTGGTGAAGAATCTGTAGTATAAACACACTCAAAAAAGGAAAAGGTTAACAGATGACCTAGTTATCCAGTTCCCAGAATAATTTTATCTTAAGTCTCCTTTCAAACACATCCAATGAGAATATCTGAGTTGTAGCAATGCATGCCACAGATTTAAAACAATTAAGAACAGGTTATAACCAAAGCAAAGGCCATGAACCCAGGTTTGTGTTATTAACTCCTTTTGCAATGCTATGATTTGAATGTCAATGCAAAGCTTTTTTAGACACTTTTTACATTTCAAACAAGAACAAAGTCACACTGAAATACCTTATTATCCTTTTGTTTCTGCACTGCTTGGGTTCTTCTCCATGATTCATATCCAATTCCACTCTTACTCTCAACTCTTTTCAATATTTGGTCAAGCTCAAGCAAATCATTTTCTACAATCCTGGTAATAAGAATGACATTATATAATGTTCATATATTCACAGTCAAAAATGAAATAATGATGGAAAGGTTCTTGTGGCTCTTAACTGCTCCTTTACGACCAGAGCTGTGCCCAGTGCCAAGACAGCATTGCTGCTATCTTCATATAAAATAGTTGATATCTGGCATATCTGATATCAGCAATTTTTGCCAGCAACCAAATTTGCTGCAGTGGGGAATTGAATTCATCAAGAGTGTGACCAGCTCAATGCAGATAAATTGTGATTTTAACAGTATACACACTGTAGAATCACTACTAACAGCCTCTTACAATAAGCCCCTGAATTGACTGGCAAGCCTGGTCAGTTTAAAACTGACTACTTAAGCATGAAAGCTATCATAATTGACCGTTCAGTATCGGTTCTGGCCATTCACTGACAACCAATGAAAACATTCCAAGAATTAAATGGAATGATCCGGCATTAAGGAAGATTATGACTTTAAAATAAACCCTCTGCAGTGTAGGAATATTAACCCATTATACCCTAACATCAGTATCCAAATTCTCCTTACTCTTCTACATATATTTTCTTAAGTACTGACAAGGAGAATTTGTTTGATGATCAAAGCTTAATAGATTGGCAATCATTTCCTTTATAACTCATCATATTAATGAATGATTCAGCAGTATTATTTTAACAACAAGTTAGATCCTGGTCACTCTTAGGAGCTTAAAGGGTTTAAACATGTACATTCCTCCTTGATGAGACAGGACAGAACGACTTCAGGTCTTGTTTGCAATGAGACAATGTTGTAACATGCCTTTTTTATAATAAGGTTATTCCCTAGAAGCAACGTCCTTTGTTCGGTTATTTTAATAATAGGCGGTTCTTGTTTAAAAAAAGCAGATTTTTTCATAGTGCGTGTGAGGTAGTACAAAAAATTGTTAGACCGTTGTGTTGCAGAATGAAACTTCCCTCTCTTTAGGAAGGATATTCTTGTCTATAAATCTCCTCATACTTTGGTGTAAGTGATACACCACTTAAGGAAACACATATCTCATTTTGTGACAGTTAAGCCTTGCATCTCTTTGAAACAATACTTGATATATCAAAGCTTACCGGTTAGTTCAATTGGTTAAGTGCCCGACTGTTGTGCAGGAGGTCGAGGGTTCAAGCCCCAGCCGGACTAACACTCAGGGTCTTAAATAACCGAGGAGAATGTGCTACCTTTCTATAACATCAAGAAATGGAGAGACATTCTAGTCCTCTCGGATAAGGACGAATAATCCATAGGTCCCGTCTCCTGCACCTATTAATTAGTTAATTTGGTTAGGCAGGGGATGTTAAAGAACCC